TAGCCAAGTTGTAAATGCAAAGGAAAAGTTCCTGAAGGAAATTAAAAGGGCTCCACCAGTTTACACACAAATGATAAGAAAGCAAAACAGCCTTATGGCTGATGTGGAGAGTTTTAGTGGTCTGGATGGAAGATCTCACTGGCCACAACATTTCCTTAAGCAAGGCCCTAACTGATCAAGTCTGTGAAGGCTGGAAGAGGTGAGGTAGCTGCCGGGAAAAAAGTTTGAAGCTGGCAGAGGTTGTTCCTGAGGTTTAAGGAAAGAAGCTGTCCCTATAGCATAAAAGTGAGATGTAAAGCAGCAAGTTATGACTTAGAAGCTGAAGCACGTTTTACAGAAGATCTGGCTAAGGTAATTAATGAAGGTGGCTACACTAAACAACAGATTTTCAATGTAGACAAGACAGCCTTCTGCTGGAAGAGGGTGCCCTTTAGGACTTCCATAGCTACAGAGGAGAAGTCGATGACCAGCTTCAAAGCTTCAAAAGGCAGACTGACCCTCTTGTTAGGAGTCAATGCAGCTGGTGACTTTAACTTCAAGCCAGTGCTCATTTACCATTCAAAAGACCCCAGAGCCCTTGCGAATTATGCTGTACCTACTCTGTCTGTGCTCTATAAATGGAACAACAAATCATGGATGACAGTATATCTGTTTACAACATGGTTTACTGAATATTTTAAGCCCACTGTTGAGATCTACTGCTCAGAAAAAAGATCATTTTCAAAAAACTATTGGTCATTGACAATGCACCTGGTCAACCAAGAGCTCTGATGGAGACACACAACGATTAACGTTGTTTTCATGCCTGCTAACCCAACATCCACTCTGTAGCCCATGGATCAAAGATTAATTTCAACATTCGAGTCTTATTATTTAAGAAATACATTTTATAAGGCAATAGCAGCCATAGATAGTGATTCCTCTGATGGATCTGGGCAAAGTAAACTGAAAACCTTCTGGAAAGGATTCACCTTTCTAGATGCTATTAAGAACATTCGTGGTTCATAGGAGAAGGTCAAAATGTCAACATGAGCAGGAATTCGGAAGAAGTTGATTCCAACCCTCATGGGTGACTTTGAGGGGTTCAAGACCAGTGGAGGAAGCAACTGCAAATGTGGTGGAAATAGCAAGGGAACTAGAATTAGAAGTGGAGCCTGAAGATGTGACTGAATTGCTGCCATCTCATGGTAAAACTTGCATGGATGAAGAGTTGCTTCTTATGGATGAGCAAATAAAGTGGTTTCTTGAGATAGAACCTACTTCTGGTGAAGATGCTGTGAAGATTGTTAAAATGACAATAAAGGATTTAGAATGTCACATAAACTTAGTTGATTATGCAGGAGGCCTGACTCCAATTTTTAAAAAAATTCTACCGTGGGTAACATGCTTTCAAACAGCATCACGTGCTACAGAGAAATTGTTCACGAAAAGAAGAGTCAATCCTTCCTTCCGATGTGGCAAAATTCTTATTTTAAGAACCTTCTCCAGCTGCCCCAACCTTCAGCAACCATAAGCCAATGCTGATAGTGCTTTTTTTTTTTTTTTAGCACTAAAGCATGCTTTAAGTAAGGTGTAAGGTATGTGCTTTGTTTTTTGAGACACAATGCTATTGCACACTTAATTGGCTACAGTATGGTGTAAAATAACTTTTATATGCACGGGAAAACCAAAAAATATGTGTGACTTGCTTTATTGTAACACTTTGTGGCATTGGTCTAGAACCCAACCCTCAATATCTCAGAGGTATGACTGTATTATCTTTCAGATCACCGTAGATCTTCCCCTAGCTCAGCGCAACATGATCAGAAAAAACTCCCAGCCCCTGGCTTCGCCCTGGGGAGGGAAAGAATTGGAACGTGAATCAAATGTTATGAGTTTTGGGGGTGCTGCCCAAGAGACTGATTTCCATCTTGCACATCCCAGAGCACTGAGAGGACCCAGCCTACTAGGATGCCTGGGAAATACTGAGAACAACAGTGAGCTGGGCAGCTTGTATCTCCTCCAGAAGACTCATAGTATAGAGGTCGATATAGCTTGGGGACAGGGGGGAGAGGCGCTACCCAAAGGAATAGTTTTTGTCTTGCCCAACTCAGAGTACTGATGGGATGCAGCATACTCTAGAAACCTGGGGCCCACTGAGAATAAGAGACCTAAGTGGCTTCCAGCAGCTCCAGAAAACCTGCAGTACTGCAGACATACACCAGGGGTAGCAAGAGAGCTCCTGAAAACGGCTCCTGAAAAAAAGAAACTGGCAAATCCATCTATCTAATTGAGAATTTACAATTCCAGGGGAATCAAATCCACAGAAAAGATTTGAGAGGCTTCTCAAGCTGGACTGACTGGTGAAAGTCTTTTGCTGTATAGAGTCAGCATGTGAAGACCGAGAGTGTTGGCTGTTTTTCAAATGAATGGATCACAACACAAAGTTACAAGGCACACGAAGGAACAGGGAAGCATGGCTCAATCAAAGGAACAAAATAAACCTCTAGAAACAAAAATATAATAATATACCTACTCATGAGGTTTTAAGGGATGATTAAATAGGAAAATAAATGTGAGAAAAACGTTGAAATTTATGAGAATCATATAAATGAAATGTAATTCTTATAAATGATCACTGGCTATTTGCCTTTCTCCTTTTTTAAGCACTGATCTTGGTCCTTGAAGCCATGCCATTATAAAGATTTCTTTTATCAGAAAAATTTACATTCAAAGAGAAAAAAATAATTTCTTAAAGCCATCAGATTATAAAGACGAGTAGTTTGGCAATAAATAATAGGCAATATCTGCATTGAAAAATACTGAATAAGCAAAAAAATAAAATTTTTAAGAAGCAAAAATACTCAATCAGCAGTGATTATTAATAAAGCTAAAGTGGATTGCCTGTGTGGGGCAGAAAGAAAAAAAAATAGGTCATATACTGAGCTCTATTTGCTGCCATATGCTACACTCCAAAAACAGTGTAGCAAAAATAATCAGTCTCCACCGCTAGATTGTTCCCACCTGCCATCACCTTCAAGCTATTTTCACAATTCTGAATAAATCTGGGTGGTACTGAACAGGGGGACTGTTTTCAAACTCACACAGGCTTTCCTCCAGCATTGTCCTGAAATTCCGGGGCTTTTTCCCCGCCCCGCCTCCCCACCCCCACCCACTCAAGACCAACTGCTTCACTTCAGATGATAGGAATCAGATGCTTTAACCCAATAAAGAGACGGCGTAAGGGTTGGGGAAAACAACAGCAAACAAACCTAACACTTTTTAAGCACCTAAATGCTGTACTTGGATTATCTCTTCAGTCTTCATAGAAACCCTATTTTATAGGTATTTTTCCCTCATTCCAGATAGATCATCCATAGCTTAGAGAGAGAAATTACTTATTCAAGATGACAACTTTAGTAAAGCACACAACTGGAATTTAAAATACATCTCTCTGATCCCAAAGTTTAGGCTTTTACCACTACTCCATGCCACCTCCAAGACAACGTAGACGTTTTCGTCTAAAACCTAAAGGGATTCTTCAAAGATTTGTAGTGTCTCTTAGAATTGGAGGCACAAAGAAGTGAAGCGGAGGTGATTGTAGGAAGAAGCAATGTGGTGGGTGGGACAACAATATAAGTTGTCAGGTTTATTTTTAATACAGAAAATGCCACTATCTAAAAACATCGGAGAATTCGATGTGGAAGTATGTGATGAGCCTTTTCAAAATTTAAGTCAAACGGGTGAGATGCAGAAGAGTCTGAATATGGTAGGAGCTGAATGAGGGTCAAATAATATTAGTTTTGATAGTTTTCAATAAAACTCGAATAATAACTTGTATGTGTATTCTATAACGGAGGGCTATGAAGGGCAGAGGTAGCATTTGGGAATCCATGGAAACAGGAAGTAACAGAGGAAAAGTCTTAGCACAAGAAACTGGATTAAAACCAATAATAATTTCTTCCCTCAATCGACTACTCCAACTCATTAAAATGATGTAAAATCAAATATAAGATGAGGAACAGCATGCTCAGATGATGACTCACAGATAATTTTCGGTCCAATTTGAGTTACATCAGGTAAGAAAAGCAGATTCTACAGAAAGATGAATATGTGCTCAATTAAAACGTTTTCAACAACCAGTCAGATCTCTCTCTCTGAATGAAAATTCTGGGGCTTTTTCTCTGACAAAGATTCTTAAGTTTGACTTACGTTTTATAAAAAAGAAGCCTACAACAAAAATATAGCCATCTCCAAGGAGCCTAATTGAAATTTTAAAATCATTTTGGGATTAAATTTTAGAACAAAATGTTTTTCCATAAAAATATTATTCGGCTATTATAGAATAAATTAAAACTAAATTAGTTTTTACTCAAAACCCCCATTTTTCTGTGCGGCAGTAAATTGCTTTTAGTTGAGGTTTAGAGAAGCAGTGATTAATCACATCTCTCTAGACACCTAAAAAAAGGCAGTTATCAGAGTTATTCTTTGGCTAGATCAAAGATGTGAGGTACAACCTGTTAATGATAAGGGGTGCCCATCTCCAGGGGTGGTCACCTCACAAACTCATCTTTTCTATGTTATGATGGTCACTGCCATGATTAACACCCTTTTTCCGCCTTATGTTTTCCTCTCATTTATCACAGCAAAGCCTCCTAAGTAGGCAATGATCATCTTAATCAGGAGGGCCTCCGGCAAGGTAAGCCCATGTCCATGGGTGACCACTGGCAGCTCTAAGATGAGACAAAGGGAGAGAGAGCAGGGAGACACTAAGACATAAACAGAGAAGAGCAGGAACAGGAGAGGCTGAGAAGGAACAGTGGGAGGGAGGAAAAGAAGAAGAAAAGATGGCAGAAGTAAGAAAAGAAGGAAAAAGTACAGAAAGGAGAAGTCTACGCTAAGGAGAAAGGACTAGGGACTCCCAGGGGAACTTCAGGACGACACTGTGCTATGAGTTGTCCCCTCCGACTCTTACTCTTTCTTTCCCCGCAAACAGAGTAATAACTCCTCTGTGCTGTTACCTGGATGAGTTCGTCGAGCTCAGTCGAATTGACACAGGAGTGTTGGGAAATAAATGTTTGCTTCTGGATCACGATGGTGGTCCTCTGTGAAATCTCGTGAGGCTGCTCCAGTGCTTTGAAGACGGTGGCTCCGATGATGAGATAGAGGACAACCACCAGGAAAATCGTGGAGACCGTCTTCCATTTCATAACATTAATGGTCGTATCACTCTCCACCCGAGAAGCAAGCACTGTGGGTTTCGTGGAAAATGAGAGCCTTGGTTTGGAGTTCTGAGCGGCAGATTTTGGATCCAGCAAGTCAGGTGCCGCCACTGACAATAACAGAGAATGAGGGTTAGGTTGGAGGAGATTAGCGGGGTGATGGTTGGACTTCTTATGGGGTCAGCAAAGGTCGACTGAACTCTGCTTGCTCTCGTGGTGGAAGCTCTGGAACTTGAACCAGAAGAGCTCCCACTAGGTTGTATCCAGGACCACATATATGGGTTCAAGGAAAAGGGGCTGGGTCTTAGCTCTCCGCTGCTATTGGGGATCCAGATGGGAGATTTAAAAAAAAAAAAAATAGGAGGTGGACAAAGAAACTTAAAACAATAAGTGCTTGAGTTCTTCCTAATTTAATTTCTAAATGGATATCTGTCCACCATGCTAGTCAACAAAGATTTGCAGATCTCCTTAGAGGTGATGATACTAAACTGGATATTTGAATACTCATGAAGAAGGCTCATGGATTATTCCTCATCTCAAGTACTTAACACTCTATAACACAAGAAATCAGTGTAAATAACATTCTCTATTTTTATTTTCAAATTCATTATAATAAAGCAACTGTATTATAAGTGAATTTGCGATCTAAACATTGTTTCTCAAAGTAAAACATTCATAATTTTCTGGTAAAACATGGTGGTAAATAAATGACTCAATAGCTCAACATTTCTTTCTGTCTGTCCTCTAAAGTAGTAAGAGAATGATTAAGCATTCTCTGTATTTTGTTATTGGATCTCTGACATGTTTATAAAAACAAAAGAATTACTACCCACTATGGCACAATCCTAGGTGCAGCCAAGATATGACAAATTCCTGCCATTTCAACAGCGAAAGTCATCAAGGAAAAAAAAAATTAAACCCTTGTCTACACCTTGGACACTACATGGTCTGGACAAGGCTAATTGCTCCATTAGAGAGGATTTATGTGTTCTCTTACAAATTCCCATATACTCTGAGATGACTCTAAACCCATTCATTATTCATCTCAGCTGTTCGAAAATATCATTAATGGATTCCTTTTTAGAAAATACAAAAGATAGTAGACTTCTACTTGCTAAGGGAAAAATAAGACATCTACGACAATATATTTGATTGGAAAGGCAACACCAAACCAAAAGAGGTAATAGAATGGCCAAAATATAGGGAACTTAAAAAGGCCACCAACTCAACCACAATAATCAATTTAACATACATAACTGTTATAGATATAAGTAAAATTAGTGTATATAGTACAGGTTTAATAAATTAATCTAATCTAAAAGACACTTTAGGTAAGTATACAAGAAATCTCTATGGAATCGTACCCAAATACCCTATGAGAACCCCAAATTACTTGAGGATAAGACAGGAATAAAGAGTGTCAGTTTTCACTTGGCTATATACTCTGCCCTCTTTCTTGACTACTACTGCGAGTTAAAACGTTGGACTACTACAGTTTGAGTTCATAAAATAAATCTTCAGTTGCCTATCAAAAAGAAGCTTTGCAAACAAAGCTATTCGAAACGCCAGACCTAAGTCGTGTTGGGAAATGATGGCAGATAACAGAGGGATCCTCCACCAGCAAAGCGCTGAATGATTCTGACTTTGAAGAGACGAAGACAGAGCTCTGATGAGGTAACTGTACCCACGGCTCCAAGTGGACATTCCACAAACACACATTACAGCAGTTCCCTAGGGTTCAACCTGCTCTCTACAGGTCTGTACATGTTTCCCTCCTGATACACTCACCTGCTCCGAATAAAGCCACAAACTAGTAGACATCTTTAACATCTAATACTTATAAAGGCAACTTCGCTCAAAATTAGCACTGGATATGTGTTTAGTGTTTTATTTTTTAAAACAACTTTTTTTTTTTTAATAGAAATGCTGATCATAGTTAAAATTACTGTCTCAGCTGTCTAGCCACCCCACCCCACCTCCAAGCTGTTTAGTAATCTGAGCAAAAATAAAGGTCAGAATCTAAAATTAAGCCATTTGGGGAACAGAAATAAAGGAAAATCGCATAGAAGCTCCAATTATCTCTCTAAAGGAAGTTTCCCAAGCCTCTCCTCTCCAGTTATCTGTTGTCGTATTTCTGATTTTTCACATGAGTGGTTTCTAGTCGATAGAACTGGAAAACACCAAGACTGTTTACCTTGATGTTCCTGAATCCCAATCTTAAACCCCAATGCCAAACTAAGGTATTATCATTATATGCTTTTGGAGAAAGGGAACAGTTAAAAAAAAAAAAAAGATAGTGTATCTGTGTATTAAGCAAATACAGGTCCTGATGGAGTTTATTTTAAGCTAGTGCCTTATTTTTTAATTAGCAGAAATATATATAATGCCCACTTGGCAGACAGAATGGGCAGAAACTGGTAAAATACCAAAATAAAAAACAACGGCCTTTCCTCAGTCTAACATGGGGAACCCTCTGGGCTTCCATCCCCAGCCGTTTGATGTATGATCAGAGGAGAAGCTCCTGAGCACAAGGAATCAAAGATTCGCCCCTTCCACACGTACTCTGCGGCATCATACCTCCCTCTCTGCCCCAGCGTATCAGTCTCCTCTTAATCCTGGTCTCCCATCCTCACCCAGGTATGTCTTCTTCGCTCCCGGGTTCCACGGACGACTCAATACCAGGAGAAACAAGCTTTTTTCAGCACCACTGCCTGTCCCACCACGCGACTGGCAACAAGTGTGACCAGGGTCACCATGCGTCCTGCCGGTCGGCTACTCCCAAAGGTTGACCCTCCTCTTCCTTCGGAAACTCCCTCAAGGTGTCTCAAATCCATACCCAGAGCATATGCAAAACCCCCAGATAGCAGCGGGAGATGGGGGCAGAAGCAGCCAAGGGAGGATCCGGGGACACGTTTGCCTCCAACCCCAGATTATGACCCAACACCTCGGACGGGAAACGAAGGTGGAAAACCTTCTCTCGCCGCCAGCGGGTCATCTGCAGCCGCCCCCCCGGGACAGGCAGGGGCGGGAAAACGTAGGGCAGGAGGTGGAAGGGGTACCCGGGGTCTCACCTCCTGCTCTATAGCTGGGTCTCTCCCGCGAGGCGCTGGGAAGCATGAGGCATGCAGCATTCAAACTGTTTTTTTGGAAAAGACGGACTTGAACCTTTTATAAACACGCCATTGTACTCACTTCTTATTCAGAGACAGGCTGCGCGCTCCGAGCTGCACGGGCAGGCATTTTCCCCGGCTTTGTTTTACAAGGTGGGGAGAGCGTGGCTGGACGCGGGAGGGGGTGGGG